GGAGGAGGAGAAGGAGGAGGAGGAGGAGGAGGAGGTGGGGGAGCAAGGAAGTGATACATTGTTAGCGCTTCGCGTAACGTCACAGGTCATGCAGAAACGATTGGGGATATATTTTAATGTCTCGCGTAATTCGCCAGCTCATCCAGAAACGATGACGCTGCGTCCTTTTCCGATTTGAAGGGTCCCAGCAGCCCGGTCAGGGGGTCGGTCCAGGGGGTCGAGGAGGTGAGGAGGTGAGGAGGAGGAAGAGGAGGAAGAGGAGGATGAGGAGGAGGAGAAAGAAGGGGAAGATGAGGGTGATACCGCAGCCCATTGAGAAACGATGTCGCAGCCTCCTCGGAAGGGGCGCTTAGAGATCAGAACTCATCAAGGTGCTCTACTTTGTTTTTGCTCGGCGGCTGTTTCGTTGGATTACGGGCTGTAGGGGTTGCGAGGTGGTGTCGTCGGCGCATTTTCGCTCAGCAAGCTTTCTGGTTTCTCCGAGCTTTTTGTTGCACAGTGCTTCGTTCCACCACTGAAGAAGTCCTTGTTCGCCTCGCTCGCCTCCGCCTGCGTTCCTCGTTGGACCCACAACATTTCCTGGCCCAGGAGGAAAAGTTTCCTCGCTCGCCTCCAACATGTTCCCCGTTCGCCTCGAGGAAATTATCTGTTCGCCCGTCGACCTTTCCGTCCTTGTCACCTCTCCCCTCCCTCGCCCTCTTCCTCCTGCCTTTTCCTCCACCTTTCCAGGGACCCCCTTCTCGGCCCCCCAGGATGGAGAGAAGGCAAAAGGAAGGGATGGATACAGAGGCGGGATTCCTTCCGCTTGCGCTCCAGACGCTGAAGTAAGCACCGAGTTGGGTGCAGGCTTGTTTCCTGTTCCGCAGGTGCCTTGCAATGAGTGGCCGTTTCTGCAGTTTCATGTTGTTTCATCCGAGGACATCCTCTGACCACGAGTGGTCCATGCGCCACCTGCCAGCCCGGCGCACCCCTCACACGTTTCGTGCCCCCATAGGGTGCTCCACCGAAGGCTCTGTGGCAGGGCCCGCATGCAGTTCCACCTCCATTTCGGCGCACCCCTTACACGTGGCAGGGCCCGCGTGCAGTTCCACCTCCATTTTGGCGCACCCCTGAAACGTTTCGTGGCCCCGTAGGGTTCTCCACCGAAGGCCTCAGTGACGCGCTCCGCATGCAGTTCTGGCGCACCCCTCACACGTTTCGTGGCCCATATGTTGCTCCACTGAAGGCCCCTGTGAGGGTCCGCATGCAGTTCCACCCCTATTTCGGTGCACCCCTCGCACAGTTTGTGGCCCCATAGGGATCCCAGCCGAAGGCCCCAGTAGCAGGTTCCACATGACACGGTTCGTGGCCCAGCAGAGGGCTCCACCGAAGGCCCCAGTGGCGGGGTTCGCGTGGCGGTGCCGCCCAATTTTGGCGCACCCTCACACGATACGTGGCCCCGTAGGGTGCTCCACCGAAAGCGGTGTCACAACACGGTGCTCCCAATTGTATTTGGTCGGGTCTTTCGCCAGGATAGTTTTTCTTCTCCCGTGTAGACGGGTGTTGTTCATCGGCCGCTTCATATATGTCGGGTGTCGAGCTCAGGATGCAAACCCTGAGAGGTGAAATTCTGAATCGGCGTTGGCATATACCTGGCCAGATACTGGCCTACTCTATCCCGCTGAATGCGGCTTATTTCCGCGTCCATCAATTTTCATCCCAGGCTCGATCCTGTCCTCATGCATTCTCCTGACAAAGGCCTCCCAGGAGTTGCCTCCCAAGGGCGCCTGACTCGTGGCCAAGGGCGCCTGACTCGTGGGCTGCCACACGCAGGCGGCTTCGGCCCCGCCGCCGGGCCCATCCCTCGACGCGTGGGCGCCCCCCCGGCGCATGGGGGCGCCGGGAAAGCCAGCTGCATGAGCGGATTCTCGGCCCGACCCTGTCCTGCCCTACCTACTCTAGGCTTAAGTCGGGCCTGTCCCTCTACGGGAGGAATATTCAAAAATAGTACAAACATGGTCTGGGAACCATTTTTTGATTATCTAATCGCTTGGCTCATTCCGCCAGCTCTTATTGTCGCACCTCTGTCGATTTGGGGGTGTATTCCTGAGGGGGTCGCAGTGACTGTGGATTTGGTTTCGGGGGTTCGTCGCAGATTCTGGCGGTGTTGCCCTGGGGCAATCGTGGGTGATCACGGGTCTTGTCGGTGATTTATTTGCTTGTGTCGGTGAGGGGTTGATGATTCTGGATGGTCGGTGTGGGGCCATGTCGCAGATCGGAGGTATTCGTCGCAAGTTTGAGCCTTCCCTTTTGGAGAGTGGCGGCTTGTGACTACGACCGCAGGAAGAGGAGGAGGAAGAGGAGGATGAGGAGGACGAGGAGGAGAGTGAGGAGGAGGAGGAGGAGGAAGAGGGAGGATGAGGAGGAAGAGGAGGAGGAGGAAGAGGGGGAAGGAGGAAGAGGGGAGGAGGAGGAGGAGGAAGAGGAGGTTCTTGGGTTCCGATGGTTTTGTGATGGAAAACGTGACATGCACACCACGAGTCAGTGGACGTCCTCGGGTCTCCACCACCACCACCACCACCCCCACAACCACCACCAGCACCAGCACCAGCACCAGTACCAACACCACCACAACCACCACCAGCACCACCACCAGCACCACCACCACCACCATCACCACCAACACCACCACCACCACTACCACCACCACCACGACAACCACGCACACACGCACGCACGCACGCACGTGCACCACCACCCACTACGCACGCGCGCGCGCGGAGCCACAGGTCCGCTACGACACGCGTCCGCGGATAGAGAAAATCAGCGCCATGGTAAGGGATGGGAGGGAGGGGTAGGACGTCAGATATAACGCGAGCGCACCTGCGACCTACAACACCACGCCCAACCCAGCAAACAGCAAACCACGACACACCCCACCGACCGCCCACTCTCCCCGAGGATGACAGCAGTGAAGACCTCTGGAAGGCTCCGTGCGAGAAATGTGGCGAGACGCCACATCCGTACGAGCAGCCTGCGGACGGCAAGAAGGCCAGACGCGAAAGGTGGGAGACCACATCCGCCTGGGCTTCCTTAGGAGCTCATGCAGGATACCATGCAGAGGAACATGCGGAATACAAAACAGACCCAGGCCACATGACGTGATGCTTGACCAGGCGTGCGAGGAATGTGGTGGGGCCGCACCCGCACGAGCCAACAACCAGGCCTCAAGGATCGGCCAAGCTCCCAGGCTGGCAGCAGCAGCGCGCAGGCGCCGAAGGGTTGCTGCCAGTCTCCTGCGTGACAAGCTAGACAGCGTTGCCTCCAGACAAGAGACAGAACGCTGGAATAACTGACCCATCCCCAACCAACCAACCAGACAACGACAGCAGTGAAGAACCTGAAAGACTGAGTGCGAGAAAGATGGCGAGACGCTACATCCGCACGAGCACCCTCGCAACTAAGAAAACCAGACGGAAAAGGTGGATCCCACAACTTTTTGGTTTGTTCAAGGATAGCATGCCGCAGATCACGCAGCTGATCCGAAGGACGAGAGGAGCCCCAGGCCCGCGAACGCGAGGCCTCCAGGCGTGCGAGATAGGTGGGCAGATGCCACATCCGCACGAGCCACTGCGGGCCTCACGGAGCGGCATGGCTTCGCACTGGCAGCAACAGCGCGATGCGCCGAAGGGTTGCGGCAAGCCGCCTGCGCGACAAGCAGGCAGCGTCGCCTCCAGTCGGAGGCAGTGGCTCATAACGAAGACGGCGCCCCATGTGCCCAGGGCGAGGGGAGGCGCACAGGGAGAAGGCGGATGGACACAGTGGGGGCCCATGCCAAGAAGCACCCTCCTGCTTGCCTCCAGGGTGCCCTGGGTTTCTCGGATTCCGATGGTTCTGCTGGGGAAAGCGCGACACTCCCACACCCAAAAGCAATGGGCGTCCTGGGGTCGCAGGGTCGGGCTTCTTGTGGAAGGTTTCTTTTGGTCCGTCCTCCACTGTGATACAGAATCGTCGGGGGCCGAGACGTGCACCTTGCTTTTTCCCTCTCCCATTTCCCACGCGACTCCCGATGGGAAGCGGAGGGGGAGACGAGACTCCAGAACATATGGAAACGTGTACGGTGTGTCCTGGGACGTGTGCCTACGTGTTTGTGAGTGTCCCTGGGCGCCCTCGGTAGTGGTGGCGGGCAGGCGCCTGGCTCAGGGGCAACGCTAGGGGAGGGTAGGCTCGCGTCGGCCCCCGATCGCCCACTGATCGCCGACACGGGGCTCGATAGCCAACCCCGCTCAGGAGCGCGCGGGTTCGTCGTCGGGGGCCCACCGCCGATCTATCGGCGACGCATCGCCGATTCCATGCCGATGCTTCCCCCCCTGGAGCTGGCCCCCCCCCCCACGCGTCGGTCGTTGAAAGTAGGCATTTGTGGACTCCCAGCTCCCAATCTACATGAGGCGCCTTGCTGCTTCAAGGGTCGAGCGGTTTTTCCTCTTCCCTCTTCAGGGGCGGACGGGAGCCCAACCTAATCACAACGCCTTCCTAGTTCATGTTTCGATCCACTTTTTCCGACTGGCGTGTGCCCCTTGCATCCTCAGTACCGCCTTGTACCTCTTGTGTCCTCGGGGGAGCAAGCAACGACACATAGCAACTCTGAGGTCCGCGCGGATTCCCCGCATCCGCGCTGGACCCCCGTCCCTGGCGCGCGGAGCGCGCCATTGTCGGCGCCGGAAGCGCCGCCAGGGGACCGCAGCGCCGATCCGTGGAAAGTGCGCGGCGAGTTTCTGTTGTTGATTCCCCTATCAGTGCTTGCATTGAAGGGATCCTAGCGGGAATATCGCCAATCATTGCATGAAAGATTTGGCGAACGTGTCCCCACCGATTTCGGTGGCCGGCTGGGTTCCCAGGTGAAGGGTTTTGGGTTCCTGGATTCCCGGTCGATCTCTTTATCGATCGAATCATCCACTGATTGGGGTTGTTCTTTGGTGTAGTATTCTTTTTTGTGCCCCTTGCATCCTGCGTCCCCCGTGGCTCCAGCGCGGGCCCCCGCGCCCCCCATCCGGGGGGGGCCCGCGCCCCGCGCGCGCGCGCTGAGGGAGCCGCCCAGGGGCACATGTGGTGGGTGCGATGGTGGCGCCGGGCACGGCGGGGAGCGCGGGAGGAACCAGGACACCTCCTCCGGCACGATCGAAATTTCTGGAGTCCAAAAATCCCGATAGCAGGCCGCCCGAAGGGCGTTGAAAGGCCTGGCGCAGAACTCTGCAGGAAGGATCTGGAGAGAGCTTCCGGAGGACCTTCTGCAGGAGAGCTTCCAGACACGCGTATTGGAAGCGCGGGCGCTCCGGGGAGCCTGGACCGACGCCGGAACGACCTCCGGAGCGACCCTGCGGCTCCGGCTTCTTAGTCTGAAGTTTTCCTAGCTCTCTGGGAGTTGTCCGGGCATGGTTGCTCCAGATTTCAATATCAAGTGACGGGGGAAAACCCTCCCCGACGAGCAGTCTCAGACCCCCCCCCCTCAGACCAGCCCTGCAAGGCTCCCCCAAGTCAGACCACAACCCTGTTATTGTGAAATCCGGAGTACGCTGCATCGTCGGGGAACCTCGTCTGTTCCCCAAATTCGGGGAACAGCTTATGTCATAGCACTAAAAACTCAGAGGTCCGCGAGGATTACTTGGATCGGCGCTGGACCCCCCCTCTCTGGCGCGCGGAGCGCGCCAGGGGCGGCGCCGGAGGCGCCGCCAGGGTACTCCAGCGCTGATCCAAGAAGTCTGCGCGGACCTCCGAGTTGTTAAGTTCATTATGCTATTTGTTTCCCTACATATTGGTGTTTGCGGATTCGGCGTGGGTTCCTGCGGATTTGACGTGGACTCGACGCGGTTACGGCAAGTCCGACATGGGTTCGACACGGATTCGACGCGGATAGGGGCTCGACGGGAGAGATAGGGTCCCCCGAAGATGCAACACTGACCAGGACACCTCCTGGAACGGTCGAAATGGAAACATAAAGAAATGGGACGAAGATTGGCAACAGTTTTCGTCCCCTCTGAACAGGATTCGCTACCGGTGTCGCCGCAGACGTGGCCCGTCTAGTACAGAAGGGCGCCTGTTCAACACTGGCCGCTGCCGGTAGACACTCTTGGGCATCGTACCCATTGTCTCCTCACAGTCGAAACGGGTGAGAAGCAAGAGTAACTTTTCCAAGTGTATCCTTGCATCCGTGCCTCTTCGGTCCATCCTTGACGACTTTCGATGGCCAGCCCCGCTCAAGATGCTTCGACGCGGGCGTCCAAATAGCTTGCATCCGTGTCACGCATCCCGATTATCAGTTTTGACTGTACCCATCTCGGGCGTGCGTCTCCTCCTCTCGGGCAGCGCCAAAGGGGGATCTCACCACCGCCCCCTGGAGAACGCGAGAGCCGAAGAGGAGGGAGGAGCGAGGAGCCAGCCACGCGCAGAGGGGGGCAGGGCAAGATAGGCGCGCTCGCGCCATATCTCACGTCCTACCCCTCCCTCCCATCCCTTTCCATGGCGTCGCACAGTCGGATGTCGTAGCAGGGCATAGCATTACATGGCATAGCATGGCGTTGAAGATCAACGCGTAGCCTGACATAGCATTGCGTGGCGACGCCCTAAAGTGGGGGGGTCTTCTGCGACCCCAAAAATCAATGAATCGGCATCGAATGTGTAATCACTTCCGATGCTTGTTTCGGGCGGACATTTTCTAGATTTTGGGGCCTATTTGGAAGGACAGAAAATCATGCCGTGGCATGGCACTGGAAATAATGACGCCAGCGCTGCAGCGGGAGCACGATTCGGAACGAGCGGAAGCGCGGAAATGAGGCCAGCGCTGCAGCGGGAACACGATTTGGAGGACGCGTAGCCTGACATAGCATGGCGCGGCGACGCCCCAAAGTGGGAGGGAGGGGGGCTTCTGCGACCCCAAAAATTAACAAATCGACATCGAATGTGGAATCATTTCCGATGGTTTTTTCGGGGGGGCATGTTCTAGATTTTAGGGCTTCTTTGGACGGACCGAAAACCATGCCGTGATATGGCGCTGGAAACAATGACGCCAGCGCTTTAGCGGGAGCACGATTCGGAACGAGCGGAAGCGCGGAAATGAGGCCAGCGTTGCAGCGGGAGCACGATTCGGAACGAGCGCTAGCCCGAAAATGAAGCCAGCGCTTCAGCGAGAGCAGCATTTTGAACAAAAAACCCAGCGACAACTCGTTTCCCCGGAATGCTGTGTGTGAAAAAACCAGTACGCGGACGGGTGCCGGACATTCCCCGGACGTCACCAGGGGAGAGAGGAGAGTCGTATTCATATTGTGTAATCGTGGAGTTTTGGAGGGAGGAAGGCTTCTTAGAAGGAGGCTGGTTCTCAGCAGGCGCGGGCCTTATCTATAGACGCAGGGCCGTCGCATCTCAAGAAGCAGCCTGATTCTAAGACGCCTCCCCCCTATACCCCCGTGTGCGCGCCGCCAGAGGAGGTTTGGGCAGTTTCTGGGAGTCCTGGGGGGGGTCCAGGGGGTCTCAGGAGGTCCCTTTCGTGGTGACCCCCATCGGCATTGCCTGGCCCTCGTGGGGTCCAGGCCTTCCCAACTGGGCCAAAGCAGAATATGTTGGAGCATCGCGCCAGATCGCCGATGCATCGGCGATGCGGGGCGATCTGGAGTCCGATCTCGTGCCGACGCGGTGCACGGCGATGCATCGGGGATGCGGTGCGATCCTTCGACCCCAATCTACGTTTGCCCTCCCTGGAAGGCCCCAGTGAGACTCGTGAGACTAGCAAGGCGGCCATCGCGCGAGCACAATTGTGCCCCCCAGCCGCTCCGCCCGCAGCAGGTTCCGCCCATCCTGAACAAGATTCGCTGTCGGCGTTGACTCGGTGCCGTACACTTGACACAATCGTCGGGTTCCCTGGGGCGCTCGCAGTTGGTTTTGGACAAGGTTCGCTGTTGGGCATCGTCCCCTGTTCTTCTGTCCAGCTCGAGCCCCTGACAATTTAGTATCTAGTTGCATTCGGCCCCTCTCGCCACCGTGCCCGGGTTGAAAGCCATGTGCCTCTCGGATGCTTGTTCCGGAGGGTGAAAGCAGGGGTCTGCAACAGGGGGTCTTCAATGCGGGCTGAATGGCCCATGTATGCTCCATGTATCGTTCATGTACGTGATCGGGTACGATTGGCATCCAATGTTGGAGGTCGTGGAGTGCCAGTCGTTCGTGCCCGCACGTTGTCCGCGCGGGCAAACGCGCCGTCCAACCATTATCGTTCATGCGTGCGGGCGTTCTTGCATATCGCGCGTGGGGCGGCTAAGTGGAGTGCAAGTGTGTCCTCATTATGCGATTGATGATCGCGTATATTTCCAAACGTTGACCTGTCGACCACCACGACATATTTGGAACGGGTCCCGCGATTCTCCCAAAATGTGAATTCACATCTTCCTAGTTTCCAAAATGTGAATTCACATTTTTCCCTTTTTTCCCAAAATGTGAATTCACATTCTGGCCCCTTCATACAGATTTCTTTCCCAAGTTCCAAAATGTGGATTTACATGTTTCTTGTTTCCCTGGATCTGAATTAACATGTTCCTTTTTCCCAGAATGTGAATGAACAGTTTACTTTTTTTTTCATACTGTGAATTCAAATTTTGTCGTGGCCCTCAAGATCCCCAGTATGTTTAAGTTGGGTTTGCTTGTTTTGTTGTTCGCTTAGTTTTTTGTTTTTTTTCCGCCGTGTGTTCATTGTTGTTCCAAGCGTGTTTTACATTGAACAATTGTTTTGCTGGTGCGCGTTTCGTTATTCGTTCGGTTCCGATGCGGTCCCAAGGTTGCGGTCCGCTGATCGTTTTGTCTGATCCGTTCACTGCGCGTTTCGTTTCGTTGCCCGTTTTGTTTCGCGCCGTATTTCTCCTGTGATTTTCAGATCTCACTTGGCAGGAGTGCTACATCATGCGTAATGTTTCGTTCCGTTTGTTGTATTGTTGTTGGTGTTGTTGTTCGTTTACGGTGGCCCAAGGCCCAACCATCGTTTCGTCTCGCACCTTAGTCATAGCTTTGGGCGGTGTTTAGGTTGTTCGTTTCGTCGTTTGTTGCCCCCGCTGTCGTGTTGCACACCTTGTCAGAGCTTCAGCCTGGGTCCCAGCCTCTGCCGTTGTCCCACCAATAATTCTGGGCGGTCGTTTTGTTCGCATGTTATCATGCTCACGCTTTCGCCAGGATCTCCCCCCTCGCCCTGGCCATAGTTTTTAAACGTTCATTTCGTTTTTCGTTTCGTTGTTTCCTCCCCCGTTTTTGTTGTTGCGCTCTTGGCCTGAGCTTCGCTGAGGGCCCCAGCCTCTGCCGTAACCCCACCCATAGTTCCGAGCGTGCGTTTCGTTATTCGTTTTGTTTTTGGGGTGGTACGCCCAAACGTGATCTTACCTGACAGCAGGATCTGGCCACACACGGGATGTAGCCAACAAGGGGGTGTGGACGTTGACATACCCAAACGGGGAGCCGGGCCAAAACGGGATCTGGACGTTTACCCGCTCAAACGGGGGGCCGTCCCGTTCAGGGATCTGACCCACATGGTGGTCCCTAGCGATCAGAGCGGATCCGTCACGAATCCTTAAGATTTGGGTTACGATTCCCAGGGAACTCCCCGGAATGTGGGCTGGAACCCTATCTTCAGGGATCTGGGCTTAGGAAACTCTTTCAGGATTCCCGAGGGATTTGGGCTCATTTCCTCGGGTTTCCTGGGGAACCCTTCGGGATCTTGGCTGGGATCTTGCGAAATCGCAGGGGATCAAGGTTCAGATCCCAAGAAATCCACAGGGGATCCCTAGGGGGTCCTTATGGATCTCGGGTCAGGTCTGTCGAAATCCTGTTCGGACATCCCTCAGGATCTGTTTCCCCAAGGATGCGGGCCCAGATCTTCAGAAATGCTTTGGGGATCCCTGGGGGTCTGGGCTCAGATCCCTTGAAATGCCGAAGGGGTCCTTAGGGATGTGGGCTCGGGTCCCTGTTCATATCTCTGGAGCGACCAAGGTTTGAGGTGAGATCTTCAGAAATCCCCACGACCCCCCAAGGGATTTTGGTTCATATCTTGAAATATCCTTGGGGAGTCCTTACGGACCTGCGTTCATATCCTTTGAGATCATTTCGACAGCCGCAGGGGTCTGGGCTCACA